TATAATAAATTTAAACTAATTTTTAGCATTTTTTATCAAAAAAAAAAAGAAAAGAAAAAAATTGAAAAAAATCCGGGCCGACCCGGAGCCCGGCCCGGTTGGGTCCCGACCCGGGGTACCCGGGTCCGGGTCCGGGCTCCGATTTTGCCCGACCCGGGCCCGGATTTTCAGGCCGGGCCGGCCTGGCCCGGCCCGGATGGACAGGCTGTGTGCTATTATTAACTTCCATTTAATAGTTATTTAAATTTACTTAGTATTATGTTATTAAACAATTTATTTAAGATTATAATTATTAAATAATAATATAATCATTAGTTTAAGTAACACTATTGAAATAAATTTATATTATTAAATATTAATACTAAGTAGATATTATATTACTATATTTATTAAATAATTATAATATTTCTTAATGTTATATGACTTTATATTGTAAAAAATATTACCTTGTTCGATAATAAATATCATCTTAGTAATAGAAAATTGGACGTTATAAATTAAGAATACTTTTTTTTAAGGAAAATATTTTATATAGAAATATTAGATCCTTAAAATTTATGAGACATTTACTTTCCAACAAAAAGTGTACGTCTCATAAGTTTCAATGATCTAATATTTTAATATAAAGTAATTTTCCTAAATAAAATTATTTTTAATCTATAATTTCTAATTTTTTTTATTAATACGATTTTATAACATCGAACAAGCTAATATTCCTTACAATATAAAGAATCAATCCTTATTTATACTATTATTAACAATTATAATATGTATAATAGTTTATTAACTAAATAGTTTTACTATTTCATAACAATTAATAATTTTTATAATAAAGTATAATATATTTATGAATTTTACTATCATTATAAATTACTAATACATTCTAGTGAATGACCAAATATTTTGGGAAAATGAAGCGAAGTCTCATAAATTTTAAGGATCCAATATTTTTTATAAAAAAATATTTTCATAAATAAAAGTAATTTTAATTTATAATGTTTGAATTCTCATCACTAAGACAATATAAATTTTCGACTAAGGTAATATTCTTTAAAACATAGAGAATCAATACTTATTTATTTTATTATTAATAATCACAATTATGTACAATAAGTTATTACATAGTTTTACAATTTTATATCATTAATTATTCTTTATAATAAATTATAATATATTTATAAATTTTACTATCATTATATAGTCTTAATACATTCTAGTGAATGACCAGATATTTTGAGAAAATGATGAGGCGTATAGTTAGTGAGAGGTTATGGATCATTACTTTTATGAAATAATGGTATAATTGTGAGTTATAAAAAATTGAGAGGGTAAAAAAAGATATCAAAAGTTTTTGTCATGAGTTCTCTCTTTTATAAGGAGTATAGATATAGATGATGGTTTATATAAACTTACATGAGAATTAAAAATTTTCTTAATGAATTCGACTTTGCTCTTGGAAATGTTTTTAAAAACTTTTTTGAGAGCCCGCATAAATTTCAATGGGGATTTTGCATGTATATATATATATATATCCTCCAACCTTTGATGTTTGCAAAATTGCCCCTCAAATGCTTTTTGCAAAATTACCCCTCAAACCTAACATATTTGGTTTTTCCACTATTCCAACTTAAGAATGTTACTTTCTAAACAAGACAACGTCAAAGTTACCAATAGTTTCTAATAGATTTGCAACAGATTCCCGTTTAAAAACTAAAATTGGTAAGTGAAAGAGGTAGCAAAAAAAATCAATGTGAGAGCATTGGGAGGAAATTTTGCAAATATCAAATTTTGTAGGCTAATTTTGCACATATGGAAGATTGAGGAGTATATATGAAAAAAAGCCCCAATTTCAATATGATTTTCTTAAAATTTTTCTTAAGGTTAAATATCATAAAATCCTCCCTTAACTTTGGACAAATATCAGAGCCTTAAAATAGGGGATTTCTGATAAAAGCTTAAAGTAAAAAAGGGTTTTAAGATAAAAGCTTAAAGGTAAAGAGGGTTTTTTTTAATAATCCCTATACTTAAGGGGTTTTTGTGATATTTTCAAAGTTATAAGGGGTTATTCAATCTTCCAAAGTTTAGGGGATTATCCCATAATCGTCCAAAGTTAATGGGGTATTTCTGATATTAAGTCTTTTCTTAACTATCATTCATCTGTTTGTTAATATCTTTCTTAATGCTCCTGAAATAGTCCAAATGTACTCAATTGGCTGCTCAATAAAAACATTATCGTTGGGTGCAATTGTACTGTTGACTCTAAGCTGTATAAACTGTAATTATAAGTACACCCATGAGTACTAAATTTTTGTACATTTATGCACTCTTTGAGTATTTCAGAGTACGTTTATGCACTCTTTGTGTATCAATTCAAATTTTCATAGTCTAATGTCTTCCGAGGAATTAGAATCCTCAATCTTTGAAAATAGAACAAGATAAGATTATACTTTCAAAGGTAAACGTAAAGCTCACTTAATATCATTCATACTTCTAAAGATGCACCCCCTGAACGAGAAAATCTAATGTTAAAAATAAGGAGAACACATTACGTAATGCTCTACTTTTTGTTAATGCATAATGTATGTTATTTTTTATTAATTATTTAAATATTTTATAAATCTAAATTATTCATAATGCCTTTAATAATTAACATCATTAAAACATTTACAAGAATAAGGATTAGAAAGCTTAATTTCGTCGAAAGGAGTTAATGATTTAGAGCGGTGTTGTAGGTGGAGATGAGGTTAGAATTTTCTTCATCGGTGAGAGGAGATATTAGAGCCAAGGAAGGATCAGAGGGGAGCCTTGTCATTGGAGGAGATAGAGGATGAAAAAAGCCTTGTTATCGGCAAGAGGTTTATAGTCTTTGTTGAAGGCATGAGAGGAAGAAGGAATCGAGAGGTTTCTTCGTCGAAGAGTGAGAGGAGTTGGAGGGGGAGGAGATGAGGGAGGCACTACAGATGGGGTCAGGGAATGGCTAGGGGATTTTCACGTGAATGAAATTAGATCGGGGATTTAATTGGAAACTTATTTTGGTTAACATGATACTAATTTAGATAGTGGAGATATCGCCACGCATTCTATCATGATCATCAATGTAACTCAATTTAACAAATGTTAAATAATATTTAATTTAACGCGAACAAAATACTTTTTTTGGTGTTATTTTCTGTATTAAATACATCATAGGTTTTCTACCTTAGTTTTATAACACTTTCGCTCTTCTATTAGGTGTTGAAATGGGATAAAACGAGTTTAGAAATGGGTTTTTTTTTCTACATTGCGAGAAACCAGGCATTACATTAACTGTACCACATCACCCCACACTCATCTAATAAATTATTCACTCTATATTTCTCCTCTTGCGGGACCGGGATCTGCTACAGACCACAAAGTATAAATTACTTTTAGCATTTATTTTGCAATTGCAACCGTTAAGAGTCTAATCATACAAACCGTGCAATTTGCAGCATTTAAATAACCTTTCTAATGGTCCCCAGCGTAAGCCCATGTGAAAAAATTTCAACCTACTCATTCCTCTCCCGCTTGTTATATAGAAAATCCCTTGGGAAGGACCGGACTGTGTAGATACCATACTCGTAATCTACAGTTTATTAATACTTTTCATTAACTTAGAGATCTCCAATTAAAATTTGTTTCAAGGACAGTCAAAGAAAATACTGTTTGCTTGCTTGTACGCAAAACCTCCTCAAAAACCTCTCTCTCGTGGTGTAATCATGGCGGCTATCACAAAGCATGTCTTTGGTGGGGGCATTAAAGCCGGAACTTTAGAAAATATTTACATACTAAGTTACCTTTTCATAATTGTGCAGCAGCGTCCGAGAGTGACTAGAAACATAAAAGAATGGCAAACAAGGACACGTTTTTTTTTTTTTTTTTTTTTTTTGCCGAGAGTGACTAGAAACATAAAAGAATGGCAAACAAGGACACGTTTTTTTTTTTTTTTTTATTGTTCGGAGCTGGTTCCGGATTCTCTGCCACCCTTGCCGCGTTTTGTGCAGGGTCTTTTTTGCACCAAAAGTATAGACCCGTGGTGTGAAAGGAAAACCTGGAAATGTCAGCATCATGTTCAATTTGGGTTCGCTTGGCTGGGATCTTGCATAGTGTTGATCTGATCTCCATGGTGAAATCAGATTAGATCCAAATTTCTTTAGGATCTGTTCGGCAACTTCACTTAAACAAAATTAGTTTTATTTTGAACCAAATGGGAGAGAGTCCGAAGCAAAACTATTCAAGGTCAAATTGAGCCAAGCTTAGCGTTATTTTATCCAAATAAAATTTTGTCCAAACTGAAGTCAGGTTTGAATCTGACCCCATTTTGAGAAGTCCCCAAACACTCGCAGGCTGGGCTCAAAACTACTATGGTTTAGATCAATTTGATTTAGACCTGCGTAATCCATTAGATGAATATTGTGTCTGTCCAAACTCGGATAACTAGAGTCAACTTGGATAGCGTGAATCAACTAGCAGTCACGACCGCTAGGCAAAGATTAAAAAAAAAAAGGAAAACTATATTAAATTTGAAAAAGAAAAAAAAAAGCAAAAGATCAATGACACCCTGGAATCTGCAAATTAGAAACAGAAGAGGTTCTGATTGTAAATTCTGTCCTATTGTTGCCTGCCAGCATCAATAATTTCTTGGCAACCCCCCTGAGGGATCCTTTCTCCTTACAAGAAAGATGCTCCTCGATTGCATGAAGACACAAATGCCAGGGATGTTCCTTTCTTTGGTAAAGATGAAACAAATAATTGAGTTTAATAGCATGCTTAGAGCCAAAGCTTAGCACATGGTTCAATGCCAAAATTAGTATCATCGCTATGATTCTGCCAACCAACCTGAAAGCAAAAGCCACTGATGTCCACTAACACCTTTTACACATTGAAGGACATATTATTAAAGCTTTTTAACAGCTTGGACCAAAATTACAAGTGCAAAGAAGTTGCACATTTCTTAAGGACCACAACAAGCAAACAACTAATACTCACAAAGTATAATGGACATTTTTATAATATGTACTCAATCAAAAACCAAATGCAAATAGCATCATCATCATCATACATACACAACTCTAAAATAAGAAAGAAAAATTGGATAAAAGAACAAAAGGAACTCACACTCATCCTATTCCTCCTTTGCTCTATATAAAACTGGTTATATACCTGGATCCTTGAGCTGGCAGCAAGACTATCAGGCTTTGTCCAGCTTTGCAAGCCATGATTTCTACCACCAACAACACTAATAACATCATATGGGTGGCTGACCTACCACCCTCCCTTGCCTCATCAACCATTGCCCTACTCGATAAAGGTGATGGGGATTGGGATTGGGAATGGAATCCCACAAAATAAAAATCAAAGAAAAATAGAATAAAATAAAAAAGCCCACAAAAACAAAAGGGCTCTTGGATGCAGACTCACCTCTTGGTCTGCCTCCACTTAACAAGCTAAAGGAACCAACCAACAAACAAATACAACCAGAAGCCTCCTTTTCTCCTGGCATGACCAAACTCTGCATCTTAACACCAGAGTTTTTAAGGTAGCATTCTCATGTACTATGAAAATGCTCTTTAGTGTCTCATTAGCTTGGAACAATCTCGGTTGTCGCTTGTTGTATACAATATAAGACCATCAATCAGCTCCCACTTTAAACAGTTTCCATCTACCAAACAAATGGGAATTTAGTCAGCACTGGAAGTATATAAGAAAATCTAGGTGAAACAATAAGCAACTCCAACATAAGGGTCGCACTGGGAAAAAAATAGCATTGGTATAAGAAATAAAGATCCTCTTAACTAAAAGATCAAGCAACTACAATGTGTAGAATAAAGACTTAATGTTTACTTAATATAGAGAATGCAAATGGTTATAAAAGCTCATGATAATTAATAGAAGTTTGGATGGGTTAAAATTCATTATGACTATTAAGCATAACATCACAACAAAGTCTTTATACGATATTCTGGGGTCGGCTAAATGAATAATACTCTTCCATTCAATTCTATTTAGGGCTATCTCCTCTTTAAGTTAACCATTATCATATCATTCTAAATTTCTTCTAACCAAATTTTCTCAGGTCTACGTCCACTCATCTTTGCTCCACTGATTATAATCTTAATATGAGTATTAAACACACAATCTTTTTAAGTATTCAAGTAAGTTGCAAGAAGATTAAGGTACCTTTGGATGATGTTGATTAGTCTGATAATGAAGCAAGTGCATCACCGGTATTCCTCACACGAAGTTCCACATTCCTGAGATTGCGAAGGTGCTGCAATATCTCTTGAAGAAGATCCATCCCTTTGTCGCCTTTCTTTAAGGATCTAATACAATGCCTGAGAAACTCTCTATCTGCCTCGAGAGCCTGCAGCCTCTCATATACATTATCAACCTCCTCAGCAATGGCAAGCCTCTTTTGATCATCTGTTACAGATTTAGGAATAGATTGTGGAGAACAATCTGTCATATCATGGTCTGAAATTATCCCGTTTTCATTCTCCATGCCAATAATGGCATCAAAAAGAGGAAGAAGCCTCTTTCTTCCACTAGCCATGGTCCTCGATTTTTGGTGAAGCTTTCCATTTGTGTTATTATGGTCAAAACCAATTAACAAATCACCATTTATATCATCTTCATAGAGTTCATAGTCCCCATTGAACGCATGACCATTTCCATTTGAATGATTTTTATGTTCCACGGATTCTAATTCATTATCATCCATTGAAAATAATTTTTCCTCCAATGCCTTTAGTTGCTCTAGAATGGAGAGCCTCTCCTCTTCAAAATCGGCTAAGGACTCATCAAGGGAAACCAGATGCTTGTTTGCCTCTTGATCGGCCACAGAGCCTAAACCATCATTTATTGGAATATTTGGGGTGCTCTCATTGTGGCTATAACTAGAGTCCTCTCCTTCATGAGATCCAAAAGAAAGGTCATCACCATCGCTAGCACTTGACGAGCCAGAAGAAGATCCTGTGCCATTGCCGTTGATCTTATTCCTCTCTGCTTCCTTTCTTCTCTCTTTTGCCTCATAAACAATTACCTTCTTCCTATAGAGCTCTAACTCTTTCTCTAATTCTTGCTTCTCCTTTTCCCTTTTCATCATCAAATCATTCAAAAGCTGCAAAGCTTCCTGATCATATTCTGATTGCTCTTCCATCATTTTCATCATCAAATCATTCAAAAGCTGCAAAGCTTCCTGATCATATTCTGATTGCTCTTCCATCATTCTCTGGTACTGTAATGCTTTTCAAAAGCTGCAAAGCTTCCTGATCATATTCTGATTGCTCTTCCATCATTCTCTGGTACTGTAATGCTTCCATCTGCATTGCCGCCTTCTCTTCTTGAAGTCTGGTGATCATGGCCATGGTTTGGTTTGCTGCTATTGCAGAAGCACTCCTCTCTTCTTCTAGCTCCATATATAATGCACTTAGTGCTTTGCGTTCTGCTCTCAATGCAGCTTTAAGTTGATCAACTGTCAATATACCATTTCCATCAATCTCACTAGCAACACTTCCATCCAAGGACTCTGCTCCAGATTCCCTCCTTTCAAACAGAAACCTCTTGTGTAAAGCATGGAGACTATCAATTGAACTAGGTGTCTCAGGCAATTTCTCGTCCTCATTCTCATTCATTCCAGTACATACAGAAAGCCCATCGACAGTTCTTGCAATAGTCTCTGCCATTGGTTCAGCTTCAGTTACTGTAAATTCAAATGTATGGATGAAACTCTAATAAGAAACTAGAGAAATGATGAAATTGTGATCAAATGATGAAATGAGTAGTTTTTTTAAGCAAATGGTACCTTGTTCTTTATCAATAACCACATTGTAGCTTGCAGAGCATTGCTCATTTGCACAAACTGACTGAGGAACTTCAAGTTCATTAACATGAGGAAGTTCAATCTGCTCATGGTCACAGATCTCACTCCCTATTGATACTTCACAGTTAGCCTCAGCATCTATCGCTTTAATCACTTCTTCTGAAACTGTATTTATCAAAACTGTATTTATCAATCAAATATGCAATTAAGACTATTATAACAAAAATAAAAAACGAGCATAACAATCAGAATAAATCAAAGCATCAAATTACCTTGAAATTCACCAAAACCATCCGCACATCCTGCTTCCTCTTGTGCATCCAACTCCTGCTCCGAACTCAAGACAGATTGATGGGTTTCACATTGAAGATCAATTAAAGAGAGCTCTTCTTCAACAATATTAACCAAAGGGAAATCTTGAGACTTGTTAATTTCAGTAGTCGAAAGCAAGGCAGACTTCTCCTCTTCCACCCCTGCACATTCTTCTTCCGCTTGCGCATCCAATTCCCGCTCCGAACTCAAAACTGATTCATGAGTTTCACATTGATGATCAACTAAAGAGCACTCTTCTTCAACAACATTAACCACAGGGAAATCTAGAGGCTTGTTAACTTCCATAGTCGAAAGCAAACCTATTTTCTCCTCTTCCTCCTCTGAGACAGTTCCTAGATCAACGGCAGTATCATCCTTCTCAACGAGGTTATACCCAACATAGTCTCTGCGATCGTCATCCTCATCTTCAACCCCATGAATCAAGGTTGAAGAATCAATCAATTCAACAGGGACCAATCTCTCCTCCTCCACCAACAGCCCATTCCCCGCTCCCATTGGAGTGATCAGCTCCGAGGATTCATCATCCACAACCTTCAGACCACCATCAAAATTTTCAACAACGAGACTCTCCCTTTCTTTAATTTCTTCCACCTTTTCCTCTCCAACTAAATTATCATCTTCATCATCCTCCAATTTCCCTTTCTGGGTATACTCCAAAACCCCCAAAGATGATTGCTTTAACAACAAATAGGGCGAAAAGAACCCACTTTCTAAAATCACATCACAGCAAGAGCACCTCAAATCCTTCTCCCCCTCTTCACTCCTCTTCATCCAAGAGAGAACCGCCACCGACCGATCATCCGTCGGCCTCGACGACGAGCAATCCTCGCACATCTCGCTAGCCTCAGCCAAATTCCGATGAGTCGAGCAATACCCAAGTTTAGAAATCTCAGCAGAGTGAGCATCACAAACAAGATCGCTGTAAGATTCGCGCTTTCGGCTGAAAACGTGATCGACCCGAGAGCAGAAGACGCAGGGGGGCTTGAGGCCGAAGAAGCAGGCGAATCTGGAGATGAGATAGGAGAAGAGACCGTTTAAGAGGAGGAGAGCAATTAGAGTCCACTCGAGGAGAGTGTAGATGAGAATTATGGCGATTTTGGGGGTTTTATTTCTGTGTAGCATGGTGGCAAATTTGTTGGCAGCCATTGAAATTGAAGAATTGGAGTTCGAGGGATTTTGTTGTTTTGTTCTTTGGTGTGCTATGTACAATAGAGAGAGAGAGAGAGAGAGGGAGAGAGAGAGAGAGAGAGAGAGAGATGGGTTCAGGGAGAGATAGAGAGAGGCAATGGAGTTTTAATGGAGAAGAAAGAAAATGGAAGTATGCCAAAAGAGACCAAGATAAAGAGAAAAAAATCTTTTTTTTTGGCGGAGGAGACTTTAGAAGGTGGCTTAATGGTTTTTAGGTGGAAGGGAGAAATGATCAAGTCAAGAAGAGAGGAGAGAAGAATGGGAATTAGTAAAGGCGTAAAGATGAGAGAGGAATGAAAATTAAATGGGGGTGTAAAGGGGCCCATATATGAGCTACATGTTTTTAGGAAAATGATTTAAAGACTTAAAATATGGGACCAATGGAGAGGACAGGTGAGGTGTCCCCTCCCTATTGTATAATGGGTTGGCCATGCCAACTCATTATGCAATAAAGAGAGGACACCTCACCTGTCCCCTTCATTGGTCCCATATTTTGGGTCACCGTAGCAGCACTCATGTTTTTATCTTTAAAGTCATGGAGATTAGCTCTGGGATTTGTACGTTCTTATATTCTAATCAAGGGATGTTTAGTCCGTGTAATTTTACTTCTTGTTTGATACGCCGGAATAGTGTCAAATAAGAATGAAAAGAATGTAGGAATAGAATAGAATAAATGTGGGAATAGAATGAGCATTCTCATTCTAATGTTTGGGAGCGTTTAGAGAATGAAACGAGAATGACAATCTTATTCACATTCCTATGTTTGGTATCATTTGTTCACAAGTGAGAATAAAATTTAGTTTTTTAATAATGCACTTATAAAAACACAGAATTTTAAAAACATAAAAATATTTTAAAATGACTAAATAATTTTTTTTAGAAAAATAAGCTTTATTGAAATGATATTTTTTCTTATAGAAATAACTTTTCAGTTGATAGTTATATTTTGGTAAACCGCCTCAGCAACAATTTTAGACTTTTGGCTTACTAATTGAAAATTAATTTTTATAAAAATTATTTTGATTATAAATAATTATAATTTAACATTTCTAACTTCTAATGCTACATGTCTATATATTACTTGTATGAGCAGCTAATGCTACTAGCATCATTGTCCACAAACATATACAATAGACTGAATTCTATATACATGCTACATGATTTATGATTGAATTCGTTTCTGGACGAACTTCATCTTCAATGACGAACTTTGTTTCTGGACGAACTTCATCTTCAATGACGAACTTTGTTTCTGGACGAACTTCATCTTCAATGATGGCAACGACGAACTTCATCTTCAATGACGAACTTTGTTTCTGGACGAACTTCGTTTCTGGGAGAACTTCGTCGTCAATGACGAACTTCGTTTCTCGGCGAACTTCATCTTCAATGACGAACTTCGTTTCTGGGCGAACTTCGTCGTCAATGATGAACTTCATCTTCAATGACGAACTTTGTTTCTGGACGAACTTCATCTTCAGTGACGAACTTCGTTCCTAGGAGAACTTCGTCCTCAATGACGAACTTCGTTTCTCGATGAACTTCATCTTCAATGACGAAGTTGTTGGCCTTCTTGTTTTGATGATGATTTAACAAATAATTTACATCTAATATTGTTTGTGTAGTGTTTGTGTTTTGTATTCATTGTAGACAAACAATAAGTTGGAGGATGGATAGAATCGAGCATTCACGATCATATCCAATGGAGGTTGGTGGTATTGTGGAGTGAAGCAATGTACATTCAAGTTAAAGATACAAGTTCAAGCTTCATCCGCAAAGTATATCAAGTCAAGCTTATTGAAGATCAAGATCACAAGCTTGGGTATAATTAGTTTAGGAGTTTATATTATGTGTGTTAAGTACTTTAAGCTCAATATCATATACACACACATTTTATTGGTTTCTATGTATATATATATATATATATATATATATATATATATATATATATATACATAGAAACAAATAAAATGTGTGTGTATATGATATGCTTAGAGTACTTAACACACATAATATAAAACCTAAACTAAATTACACAAGCTTGATGATGGTCTTCAATGAGCTCGACTTGGTAAACTTGCGGATGAAGCATGAACTTGGATATTCAACTTGAATTACATGGCTTCAACCACTATTCTACCAACCTCCATTGGATATGATCGTGAATTTTGCAAAATGATGATATTTTTCATTTGGGATGTCCTTTTTAAAAACCAGTTTTTGTAGCATGTGTATTATCATGTCTACAATCATTTCCCAAAGTTTTATATTTTTGGAATTTATTTGATATTTTTAAACAGGGTTTTAAAATCAGATAAACAGTTTTCAAACCTGTATTTTCATGTATCAGTTCGCGGTCGACCGTCACGGTCGACCGCGACTATGTTTTTCCCTCAGGAGCCAGCAAAAACTTTTGCGGTCGACCGTGGCGGTTGACCGTCTACTCGGGAACTCCTGCGGTTGACCGTCGTGGTCTACCATAGCCTTTTTTTTATCGTTTTCTCAGTTTTGATGACCTTCGCGGTCGACCGTGAAAAACTCGATTTTTGATTCTTAGGCTTTTTGGTCTTTTTCTTTAGGGTTTTTTGGCTGAGATTTTGGGAGGCTATATATACCCCCTTGCTCTCATCTTTCAAAAAAAAATCAAGAAAGTTTTTAAACAAGTTTAAGGGTGTTTAATTTTGGTTCAAGTTTGTTTTAAAAGAGTTTGTTTGTGAAGAAATTTTCACAAGAGCAAGTGGAGATCATCCTTTGGTGTTTGTGTATTCAATCTTCTCCCTCTCTCTTGTTATCTATAGAGAAGTTTTCTAAACTCAATTTCTAGCTTTGTATTTACATTGTTTATTGATTATCATCTCTATAAGCTAGATTTTCATAATTGAGTTTAGTTCAATTTTGTTTTATTGAATCTCATTGTTACACACACCCACTTGAGCTTTTAGTATTTACATACATAGTATATTGGGGTCGTGAGAGATTGTAACAATTGAGTTGTGCTTAATTGAGTTCTCATTCATGTTAGAGAACATTTTATTGTAGTTACATT